TTTTTTTTTTTTTTAAGTTTGTAATTATTCTTCCAATCATAATAGACATTATAATTGCTTTATAATCACAAATATTAACAAATTATACTTTAAAACCTAGATTACCATATAGGTTAAAAAAATAACGACTTTAATACGAATTTCAGTATTTTATAATTTGAATTGATTTTTTATACTTTCTACAAATATTTTATTTTATTTTATTTTATTTTTTTTAAATGATAAGTACGTGTTAACGTGTAGCACGAGTGAAAAAAAAATAAAAAAATTCAAATGGTAAATGGTAAAACCGTGGTTTATTGAGTGTCTAGGGGCATTCTCGACCAGTAAAAAAAAAGAAAATCTTGACATGGACGATGGACCTTGCCACTGCCAGAGCAGATACAAAAAACCCAGCTTTGTAAAGAGAGAGAAAATTGAAAGAAATTCAGACACAACCCCAATTTACATCTGCACGGATTTTGTGAACAATCATCGTCTCCTTTTGTATTTGTATTTTAAACATTTTTCTTCAACCTGTCACTGTTACAATTGTAAGTGCATCATTGTTTTTTCCAAGAATTAATTGTGGATGCAAAAACCCTTACTCGAGTCGACCAACGGATTAGTCGGAGCATAGCTTCGGATACCGTGGCTAACTACCAAAAAAAAAAGATTACATTTTTTTTTTTTATATTAACATTTCAGCTGATCTGAGTTTGAAATTTAATGTGCTTTCACCCACTTTCCTGCATTTACATAAACAGGGTTTTTCGACTTGGTGAAGGTTGCTCAACTTGAAAGCTCAATCTATGTAATAAACCCTTCTCTCTCTCTCTCTCACACACACACACACCATTGATGAGTATTTTGTTATCTCTTTGTATTTTCTTTTTTTATTTGTTTTTTTTTCTACTTTCTCTCTTGGGATGTCATGTTGCTGTTTTTGTTGTTGTTCTTTTCTATGTTGTTTAGCTGTTCTGATGTGAAAGAGAAAATGGGGTCCAAAATGAAATATCAACAAAACAGAAAAAAAAAAAAAATGCCATCTTTATTTCCCCCAAATCTCATTTTCATGTTTCTGCACATATATGTGTGTGTTTGGTATGTGTGAGTTTGAATGGTGCTGATTGGCTCATTTGGGCCCTTTGTTTATTTTCTGAGCTATTTGTTTTTGTTTGCTGGAATTTGAAATGCTATAAAGATTTATGAGAGCAAAGAAAACCCTTTTGTCATTTCTAGAGATTTTTTTAATGTGAAAAGCCCCAAAAAAAGTTTAAGCAAATAATTGAAATTTTGAAAAAAAAAAAGAAAAAAAAAGACTGTTCAGTTTTGGATCTGAGAAACAGCTACTAATTTCTTGTACATTTTTTTCCCCTTTTCCAAAGCTCAGCCAAATTTTGACTTCTCTGATTTGAAAGCACTCACCCCTTTATTGTTTGCCTGTTAATGGTGGCATATACTGAAACAAATAGAAAAAAAAAAAATGGAAAAAATGTAAGTATTTTTTGCTGTCTGTGTTGTGAGACA